GGCTTGAACATATATTTTATCGAATAAATAACTTGACCTTTGAAAAACAAATCACCATTGCCTCTTTCGCCTGACCTTATATATTTCAGAACTGTACTAATTTGTACACCTTTAGGAACTTTAGCATACTACATTGGCCCTGTCCATCTAAAGTGCCTTCCTGCTACTAGTTCTTTGTCTTTATCTTTCTCCTGAGGTAGAAACAATATATGACAATATAAATATATGTAAATATTAATCTTAATAAAGTTTGCTAAGCAAGATCTATACTAGTATTTAATATAATAATAATATAATTAAATTTAAAGAATTTGAACTTAATAATATATAATTAAATAAAAAAAAAAACTCTCACCCATTCACCGCTGATTTTTTGAAAATTTCCTTTTTAGGAAATCTTCTTTCAAGAAACGTCTCCCTTTTTTTATTTTCTAAGGCAAATAAGCTTTAAATCCAAAGAAAATAAAGACTTTAAGGAATACTGTTGCATTGGAATGGAATCTTTGGTCAAGACCTAAGCAAGTTGGGAGTCTTCTTTAACTCTTGGTTACATGGGGAAAGGCCCATGGCAGCCTTCCTTCATAATTTTTTGTCTTTAGATACCTTCCTCTTTATAATCATAATAACTGTTTTTTCTTTTACTTTCAACTCTCTATAACACAAATTCAACTTTAACAACATATTAAAACAAAGTTACTGGATCGAATGTTTGTCTTAATACAAACTTCAAAAATTTATTATCTTTTTTTTCTTCTTTTCTTATTAAAAACAACAACACGTATCACTTTATCATTCTACCACAAAAAAAATTTTTTTTCTAACTCAAAAACTATATTTAGTTCCACCACATCAAAAAATCAATATCCAACAAACAACCAATAAAATTTCTACACTCTTTTAACAACAAAGCCAAATCCATTCAAACCTGTTTTCTAACCAGTTTTTTTATAAAAATATTTATATACAGTGCCATTCACTTAGTTATCACACAAAAAAAAACTTAATTTGTAATTCTATTAAAGTTTTTTCTAATAATTAAATTTTTTTAAAAATACGTAAGTTAACAGTTTACAGTTTGTTTTATAATTTTATGTATTCTTTTAAATTAGAAAACTCTGATTATTAAGTTAATAGATTTTAAAAATTAGGATTTTCATATATATTTAAAGAATTTGGCCGCCATTTTTAAATATCACATGACAATGGAGATATTATGATTGGTTCAAATTTTATATAATATGCTGTAACACGGGAAAAAAGTAACGCGTCTCACACCGAATTCTGGGTTCACACGATATTGTGTGGAAATCAATAGTATTGAGTACAATGAGCGAGGTAGAAAACTAGCGCGAACCTGAAGAAATGGGAACTGTTCAGATCACGATACAATCGCAATGATTGCCACGTGACCGGGTCGTGCCAGGATCAATCATGGCACTATGGAGCGATTAATAAAATTATATAATAGAGTAGTGTGAAAATCAAATCGCTTCGTCATGAGATTTCTTATATTTTTACTTGATTTGTATTTATCATTTTTATTATGTAATAAGTGTGCAAGAATGTATAAAAGAAAGAAGAAATTGAATAAAGGAACAAAAAGAAATCAAGTCCAGTTAGAAAAGATTCTCAGCCAACATTAATTCCGCCTTACCATAAATAAAATACTTACTATCATTACGCGAATCTGAACTTTCCTTAGCGACTGACTCGCCGATCACCGTTACAATTTTGGTGGTGACTGTGAGATACGACGCTGTCCATTTACCCCCTTCCCCCGATATTTTCTCGCGAACACCTCTTTAACACTTTTCCGACATTATACTGAAAAACCATTCATTACAAAAAAAAAATTTTTTTTAAATTCTTTCATTTACCACCCGATTTCCTAACTTTTACTTTCTTTTTAGTTATCTTATCCTTTTAGATACTGACGCGACAGTAGATAAGAAGAACGACCCGACCTAACGAAGGCGCAACAAGAGAACTGACAGCAAAAAACTTAAAATGATATTAGTACCCCAAAATAGTTATAAACAAACATACCTGCGTGACACCCGTGATAATCTGTAAAGGGCAATGGATCTTCAAATGGATGGCGATGTAACGCCCAGACTTCTCCAGCAGCTCGCCGCCTTGCGAGGATTAACACGGACCTGTGATAACAAAGGAAACTTAAATACAGGGCCAAAAAAACAAGAAGTCCAACGGGCAAAGTTACGTGGGTTCGAGGGAAAAGCCGGAGAAGACCCACGCGAATGGCTGAAGCGCTACGAAAAGACCATCAAATTCAATGGTTGGCCAAATAGTAGAAAGCTAAGAGGAGTAAGTCGCTACTTAGAAGGGGACGCCAAGGGGTGGTATGAGAACCATCGGGACCAGTTTGTCTACTGGGACGAATGTGATGACGAAGGAAGCTTCGTACCGACGTTCGTGCAGCATTTCGAAATGCTGGAGCAACATTGCCGGCGGCAAGAAAAACTGAAAACAATGAAACAAGGTGAAGACGGGAAGATGACCGAATACGTCCGAAGGTTTATGGTGCTACTAAAGAAGCTCTACCCAGATGGTGATTATGCCAAAAGCACGGCGTATCGGTTACTGATACTTGGGTTACGGGAAGATATACTATTGCAACTAACTGTTAGAAATTCCGTCGTGCCAATAGAAGCACTCAAAGCGGCGATAAGAGCCGAAAGGGAAAAGATAGCATCTACTCTCGCCGAAGCAGTTAGAGCCGCCTCGTGAAATGAAGACACCAGTGACAACACGACTGACGAAACCACGAAGCCCGAAGGATGCCGCGACGAAACCCCAACGACAATTCCTGACAAGACCCAGGACAAGAAACCTTATGACACACCCCACCCGATAGAGAAAACCGAATGACCATGGGTAAATGCGACCGACGCAAGCACAAAGACTGGAGAATGCCACGATGAAACCCCGATGACCATTGATGAGGAGACGCCAAGAAGAGAGGACAAAATACCAAGGACAATAACGAATGAACACCCAGAGAAGATGACGACAACCGGCAAGATTGTGGAAGAAAACACAAATGGTGATAAAGCCCAAATAGCCAAAAGAGATTGAGAGGATGATGACGTGAAAGAGACTGCGAAACCCACCTGTGATGAAGCTCGAATAAACGAATACTCCGAAATGACGACACAAGGGAGGTGGTGAGTAAACCGGAAGAAGACGATGGATTAGCACAGGACGCGAAAATGAAGCATCCGCAAGAGAAAGCAAGGGACTGACTGAAAGACATGCCGACAACTGACAAGGTGGAAGGGAGTCTTAACAAGAAGATGTGCCCCGAGCTGCAAAGAGAAGTCGACCACGTGGAAAAGGTTGGTGAAGCTGTTAGAGGAATCAATGCAACGATTGGAAATCGAGAGCTAACCCATGACAAAGTATCGGTTGCTCGTGACTGCCCGAAGCCATGGGTGAATGCTAGAACCACGATGCCCAGAGTCAACGAGATGAGCAGCCATGGGACCGAAGTCGAGGACGAACCTGAAAAAGATGAGAAGAAAGCAGTAATGAGCCACGAACAAGACCAGGAACGCTTCGAAGGCAGAGAGAGACAACAAGACAAGCCACAACCACGTACCCCCGATAAAAGCGACGAATGCCGGGAAGAGGGACCCATAACCGTATACAATGACCCACCCGATAGCACAAGAGAACGACCGACCATCACGGATAATAGAGACCAAGGAGGAGGGCTCGATATGAATGTTGGAAGCGAAAAAGGGATCCATGACAAAACGCCTGTAAAATTTGAGGAATCTATGAGGAAAAAAGATCAAGAAGTCACGATCAGTAAAAGCGAGCACGTGAGAGAACAATTGAACAGGAATGACGAACCACGATGATGTATCCGATGAAGAATGCGCCTACGAAGGTACAAATGTATGCGCCCACGAAACAATTGTTCGGTACTACTATCCTACATTAAAAATTTGTTAAACGGAAAAAGAGGAAACGAGTTATAACACGCCAGCAAAAGTTAGAATCCAAAAGGTGCCGATGATGCATCACGGATCACATCAGGCTATATCATCACCACAGACAGAAGCATCAACAAAGAGATTGGGTGACCAACAACACCAGGACGACAAGTGTGATGGAAAGAGTCACGCCGCATCAACATCACATCACGAATCTGGAAACTGCCCGACCAATAAATTGGGAGATCAGGCACAAGTGGAGAGAAAAATCAAATGACGACCCAATGACCTACCAATAGACCGGCCATCACTGATCGAGAGAAATTGATGTGTAACAAATGTAATGCATGATATGCATTACATAAGTGGGGGAGAAACTGTAACACAGGAAAAAGGTAACGCGTCTCATACCGAATTCTGGGTTCACACGATATTGTGTGGAAATCAATAGTATTGAGCACAATGAGCGAGGTAGAAAACTAGCGCGAATCTGAACTGTTCAGATCACGATACAATCGCAAAGATTGCCACGTGACTGGGTCATGCCAGGATCAATCATGGCACTATGGAGCGATTAATAAAATTATGTAATAGAGTAGTGTGAAAATCAAATCACTTCGTTATGAGATTTCTTATATTTTTACTTGATTTGTATTTATCATTTTTATTATGTAATAAGTGTGCAAGAATATTGAGTAAAGGAACAAAAAGAAATCAAGTCCAGTTAGAAAAGATTCTCGGTCAACATCAATTCCGCCTCACCATAAATAAAATACTTACAATCGTTACGCGAATCTGAACTTTCCTTAGCGACAGACTCGCCGATCACCGTTACAACGTGCATAATAAAAAAGTAATGATACGTGTAGATAGTAATAAAAAGTAATGATATACTGTATATACATGTAGATAGTAATAAAAGTAATAATACATATAAATTTTTTATTGATTCTCATAACTTGATAATATACCATTATAGCCTTAATTTAACCTATTTATAGCACACGAACTTAACCTTAAATAAATAAATTCCTTAAATTTACTGTAATACAAACCTAAATCTTATTAATTATCTATCACTACGAACACCTTTTATCTTTATAAAAAAATGCAGCTGATATGTACCCCCGAAAAATTAGTTGAAATAACTCTTGTAAAGCTAAAATCAAAAAGTATATAATTAATTGCATATCTGTTAATTTGTAAAATGTATATAAATTCTATCATTAGTAACAATGCCATATTCAAAACGTCAGTTACAAGCTCAACAAGCAATTTCCAAATGTTGGAAACCCAATGATTTATCTATATTGGACTCAACTTCTCAGGAACCGCATAATGATAATGATAATTCTGAAGATGTTATGCATCAAACAAACATTGAGAACTTAGATGTACATGTCTCTAATCGTTCACAACGATACTTGGGTAACTCAGCACGAACTATACGACGAAAAAATGCTATACTTCGGGAAACTGCTAAAAATATGGCTGAAAATAAAAGTAAACAAATAGATGATGCCGAATATGAAAAAAGAACCCAATTGGCCTGAAATACAAATATCATTAGCGAATGCTGCAAATAAAAAGGATTTAGAAAAAGGCACAAAGGCACGAATTGAAGCCGTTCAGCAGTATATACGATACCTTATTAATGATTACCAGTCAACTAAAGCAAGCGAAATTGTACAACAAGGCTTGGGATGGAAATCTTGGTCAGCAAGGCTTATTCGATCATGGGCAACTCAATGGATTCGTAATAAGAATATTCCTGTATCAAAACGTGACAAGCATCCAAAAATTCGAAAACTTCTTAGTGATGAGGATGTAACTTTACAAATTCTAAGTTATATCCGTACATTACCGAAAAATGAATATCTTACAATAAAAAAACTTCATTATTACATTAATACAACTGTGTTACCTTCTCTTGGTTGTGATATTGAAAATAAAGTAAGCGAAAGTACCGTAAATAGATTTTTACATGATTATGCATGGTCTTGGAAGCAATGCCAAAAAGGTGTTTATGTTGATGGACATGAGCGTCCTGATGTTATTATATATAGAAAAAATTTTCTGAAAGAATTAGAAAGTTTGGAATGGTTAATGCCAACATTTGAGGATAATAATCTTGAAAGTCGAAAAGATCCAGAACTTTTACCCAGAGAAAAACTTCATATATTAGTAACCCACGGCGAATCAGTATTTCATGCATATGATGCTCCCAAGTTTCAATGGATTGAAGACGGAAAGCAGCCACTTCGAAAAAAAGGACAAGGCAAAGGATATCATATAAGTCACTTTTTGACAGAAATGATTGGGCAATTGCAACTAACACCTGAAGAACAAAAACAATATCCGTATTTACCAAAAACTGCAAGAGAAGATCTAGTTCCCGGTACTAGTAATAAGGGATGGTGGAATATGAAAAAGTTAGTAAAACAAGTGAAAGAAAAACTTATTCCTCTATTCGAAGCTACTCATCCTGAATGCATAATGGTAGCTTGCTTTGATAATGCAACAAGCCATAATGGATATGCTGAAGATGTCTTACGAGCAAGTGTTATGAATTTAAAACCAGGTGGAAGCTATAAAATTAGGGATACTATATTCAATAGACAGCTTCAAACGATGATACTTCCAGATGGCAGACCAAAAGGAATTAAAATGGTCTTGGAGGAACGTAAATTATGGAAAAAAGGTCTTTTGCTTGATTGTAAAGATTGCAAGAATGGCATTGACGATGAAAATCGTTTAAATTGTTGCGCACGACGAATCATGAGTCAACAACCTGATTTTCTAACCCAGAAACTGTGAATTCAAGAAATAATTGAAGCTGCTGGACATAAGGTATTATTTTATCCGAAATATCATTGTGAATTAAACTATATAGAAATGTATTGGGGGCATGTAAAAGGTATATACGAGAGAGATGTGATTATACCTGGAAAGGTCTTTTGGAGAGAATTCCGGAGGCTTTAAATAGTGTTGATATTAGTACTATTCGTAGATTTGCGAGGAAATCACAATGGTATATGAGTGCTTATAGAAATGGCTTAACTGGAAAGGCAGCAGAGTATGCTGTTAAAAAATACCATTCTCATCGTCGTGTTCCAACTACCATATTAGATGATATTGAGATCAAGTCAGATAAATATAACATTAGTAAACATCACAAATAAATACTTATTAAAATTCAATAAAATTCTTTTATATTTATGGTAATGACAGTTACGTTTGTGCTTTGAGATAATTATTGATCTTTGGTTTAGAATTTTGTATGGCGATAGTAAGAATTAACAGAATCTGATTTCAGTTTATAATTGATACGACATATCTTTTTGTAATTTCTTATTATGTTGTATTACACATAATATATCATTAATAGAAACGAAATTGGTAAGGAAGAATATGAGAGTGTTTTCAATCTTACAGAAGCAGCCAGTAATTAAAATTGATATAAAAAACTTTGAGCTAACATTTATATAAAAGAAGCATGTGACGTAAAATTTATCAGCTAAGCCACTGGGTTAAAATTTGGCCGGTGGCGCAGTAATTGTGGTGATTAAATGAATTGCACTGTACTAAAAATAACAACAATAACAATAACAACAATTAACTGATAACATACTAGATTGGAAGAGCACATGACTGTGCCTTGCGCGAGTTCCAATAATCTACAACTAAACAAGTACCAAAATAATACAACAAGATTGAAGCAGGCTCCATACCCAACTCACTATTATTTCAACTATACTACTAACCTACAAACCTCCTAACATTCCACAATTATCATTAACAATGGAGTTGCGACCCACAAGCAGCAATGCTATCGTTAAAGAAAAAAGATAGCCTAAGCCTAACCAATGTGAATGAGAGTGAAATACTTTCATTGCAAGTAGAAGTGAAATACCAGGGAGTTGTGCCCTGTAATCTGGCAACTTAAACCAGTGCTTCTCTACTGCTATTGGAGTTGTACCTAGCTATCGAAAAGAAAGCTTTGACCTAGGTAAACACATTTGGTTTGTGCCCTACGAGAAGGATTGTTAACGCAAAAGATAATTGCATTCAAAACCCAATACTTACCATCACTACTTTAACAATTTTCATTTCTAATTTCTTAACCATATGCAGCTTTCAGGAAGTAATTAACCCTAACTTCAAACTTAATATATATAGTGTCATATATCGTTTCTACCTTAGGAGAAAGATAAAGACAGAGAACTAGTAGCAGGGAGGCACTTTAGATGAACAGGGCCAATGTGGTATGCTAAAGTTCCTAGAGGCGTACAAATT